TTTTCCCAAATTAAACACTGGAGCCTGTACAATTTATTTAACATCCTCCTGGTACAAAAACTATGTTATGCTACTGCTTATTGCCAGCCGGCAAATAGTTTGTATATTCAACATTAACTGCCTCTGAGACTTGCCACAAGTGCCCTGTGTCGGAGGACTTAGGACATGAAATCCTCATCCCATAGAAAATGGCTGACAAGAGAGCAATGTCACAGTGATGAATGGAGTGTGAACAAAACAGGCTATAGTATCTTAGTCAGGCCCTCAAGCGTGATTTACTGTAAAGTGTGAATTCTGTTTGAAAAGCTCTGGGCTCTGCTCTGCCCTCATGTTCTCTCACCCCTCAGTGCTGTTTTCTTTGTTATGTGAGTGAATCATCCTCTCCAAGTTATAGTCTCCTCCAATTCATTGGAGATCTCCACATGGGTCCTCACAAACCGCCCCACTCTTCCTCCTCGCGCTGCCATTGCCATGGAGACTCGGCTGAGCAGCCTCGCCACAGTGAGACGGATACACAGAGAGTTCTTCAGTTAGGGAGATGACAGGAACCGATTTCTTTCTCCTGACTGTCCAGCTCATTGCCTCAGCACCACCGCCACATCTTTCCAGTTATGTTCTCAGTTTTGTGAAAGGCCCTGTGCTACAGACAGCTTTATACTTCCCCAGGTGTTGGATGCAGTCACACAGTGATAGGGAAGTTCTGTATGTGATTGAAAGAGGATGAATGCAACAAGACAAGGAGGGAAATAATAGTGAGTGATCCTTAATGTGGGGTGGCTGTGGCTCAAGAGGTAGGGCAGTCGTTTCGCTGACCAGCAAGTTGGTGGTTCGACTCCCGGTCTCCCCGCATGCCTAAGTGTCCCTGAGCAAGACACTGAACCCCGAATTGCTCCCGGTGGCTTGATTAGCGCCGTTGTGTGGCAGCTGTCGTCATCGGTGTGTGAATGTGTGTGTGAATGGGTGAATGGTGGTATGATCTCCCTGTAAAGTGCTTTGGAAAAAAGCGCTATATAAA